AGCAGGATTTACTTCAGTGGAGCTTTGGTGTTCACCAAGTGTGCCCCTTGAGTGTGTCACTCGTGGATATGGTAGAGTTATAATCCAGTTTGGTCGAGTCTGATCAACAGTTGCACTGTCTCTGGGGCCTCCCAGGAGGTGCAAAGTCAGCCTGTGCCAGTGCCTTGCCCAGGGCCACCCATCATGAGCTACACAGCAAACTGCAGTTGGCTGCTACTTGTGCTGGGCTTGGCTTTGTCCAAGAGGGGCCAAGCTGTGAACCAATGCAGGCTGCCACTAGTGCCAGGCCTGGGGCCACTTATCAAGATGTAAGGGGCACGCTGCTGCTTGTTTGAGATTTTAGAAAAGTCCTAAGCATAAGGCTCAAGAGGCCACTTGCACAGAAAAGTCACTGGAAACGGCCTGAATGAGCTTGCAGGTAGGGAGGGACGAGGCCTCCAGGAATCACTGGGGCGGGGTGAAAGGTGTGAGTCAGGTGCTGGAGATTCAAATATGGCGCCTGCCTGCGGGCTCTGTGTGGAGAGGGCTCGTCAAAGGAGCAATGGCCTCTGCCAGCTCTTCTGCCTGGGAGAAAGCTGCCCCTCCAGCTCTCGTCCCGATTTCAGGCAGGTTAGTTCCTCCCCAAATGTCCCAGGTTCCTTTCAAGCTGCTGCCCGGCTCTGGGGCTCAGAGGGAGCATTTCTGAGTCTGTGCACAGGCCCTTTAAGAGGAGCTGCCTGGGGATCCCGCTCCCTCTGCGACCCTCAGCGACAGTACCCACTGGTTTTCACAGCCCAAAGTTGTGGGGACGTCTCTTCCCAGCCCTGGAGCCCTGGGTTGGGGGCCTGACGTGGGGCTGGGACCACTCACTCCTCCAGGAATCCTCCACCGCTGAGATATCCCTCCCGGGTTTAAACCAGGGCACCGGGTGTGGGCCCGCAGTCACATCTCCACCCCTCCTACCGGTTTCGATGCTTTTTCAGTTCCCTGGTTGTAGGGCTTCTGTTCAGCCAGATTTCAAGAGGTTCTGAGTGATGATGATTCTGTATTTTAGTTGTAATTTTGATGTGGTTGTCAGAGGCGGCGGCAGGTGCAGCTGTTACCTCCGCTGCCATCTTGTTTCACCAACAGTTTCTTTTTAACCTACAAGAAACTCTTGAAATTTCAGTGGCCGTGAATTTTTTTATCTTGAAAAATCACTGCTTGTGTGACTATTAAACTCTTCCAAAAATACTCTTTTCCTTTCCCCAAAAATGCGTTCAGTACCGTCTCAAGTGTATATTAGGCAAATAGATCGGGTCAAAATGACTTATAGAAGATTTTTTTTCTTCAGGATGTGATCCTATTAAAATTACTGTTTTACCAAAATATCTTTCTATTACATAAAAAATCCTTAAAGGTTGAATGCACAAAATCATTAGTTATTATAAATTAACACTTCACATGCTAATTGAGAACATTTTAAATAAGTGACAGCATCTAGAAAGATCTTTATATTAGTGGAATTGCATTTTTTATCTACTTTGGGAATATTTGTTTTACATGAAAGCCTTATTAGCACTATTTGTGAAAGTTGCTTCAGTACTAGGTCAAATACCCAATTTGGGAAAGATGACTATGAATCCATTGCCAAAATTAG